AGTGGATATGCCTACCTTCCTGCGAACTAACTCAAAAACTACGGCCAATATTGAGTAAATAGAATATTCAAGTTGTCATGAAAGAACAATCAACACTTTTCACGAGTCTACCAAAGCAACATGAATGAGTAGGCAAATAGGATTGTTCAGGAGTTTATTGTATATCATGCGGCGCCTGCAATCAGAAATATATTGGCGAAACAGGTAGAAAAATTATCACACGAATCAAGGAACATCAGAGGCTCTGCAGGAAAGATCAGAACTAGCTGAACACATCGCACAGACTGGACACGAGATCAATTGGAAGGCAACAAAAAGAGGAGCTCCATATGGGGACAACACAAGGAAGCGCAAGATTAGGGAGGCCGTTGACATCCTTGCGGAGAACAATTCAATGAACAGGAGATTGGAGGAAGGTAGAGTTAGCGATAAGTTTGCCTACTGCATAAGCAAACTCGGGGAAAACAAGAATGAAGCAAGACCAGCGAAAAGGAGACGCCTGGATCAATGATCTACCACCAACAGGAGGAAAAGGGATCGCGAGGAAGAAAATGGAGGGAAGGGGTTTCTGCAATAAAGCGAAGACGTTTGTCAGTGAGTGATGCCCATTTAGAATAAACAACTTTGGGGGCCTGGCAGTCAGGGAGCTGGGTAGACGGATAAGCAAACCATCACGAAAATTCGGCATTATGCCCAAAATACACAATAAATACAATTAAGATACTGCATTCGACCAGAGATAGGCGTCCACAGCTTGCTCAGATAACATGAGTTTAATCAAGGTAGAGGATCCGTGAATGGAAGGCCTGATATCTGCAAGCATGGCAATCAGGGCTTAGGCGCTCTGCTCATTGAGGCGGCAGTGTGCGTGCTTCTAGGTCCTTGAAAAATAGCGCCTAGAATGAAATGCACACAAAGACTGGAACCAAGTGAAATCGGTAAACCAGAAAGATAAGGAATGGATCCACAAGACAATAAAGGGATCCAGATTGGAGATCCGAGTCGGATAAGCCGATAGAAAGAGAGGGGTTGGGGTAGATAGCAAGTGTGATGGGGCCACACTATAATTGCCAAAAAGAGCACACATTTTGATGACTAGAATGTAAACAAGTGAGAAGCTGTGATAGGGCGGCAATGGGATTAGAGGGTAAAGAGTAGATAGATAAACG